AATGACTCTACTGCAGCCACAGTGCTGTCCATGATGGTGAGTGGGGGGAGTGCAGGGGGGTTTCTCCTGAAGTCCATGGTCATCTCCACAGTTTTGAGCGTGTTGAGCTCCAGGTTGATGAGCCTGCACCAGACAGCCAACTCTTTAACCTCCTGTCTGTAAGCAGACTCGTCACCATCCTGGATGAGGCCGATGACTGCAATGTCGTCCGCAAACTTCAGGAGCTTGACAGATGTGTCGTTAGAGGTGCAGTCGTTTGTGTAGAGGGAAAAGAGCAGTGGGGAGAGCACACATCCCTGAGGGGCGCCAGTGTTGATGATGCGGGTGTTGGATGTGAATTTACCAATTCTCACTAGCTGCTGTCTATCTGTCAGAAAGCTGGTGATCCACTGACAGATGGAGCTAGGAACAGAGAGCTGGGTTAGTTTGGTCTGGAGGAGTGTTGGGATGATGGTGTTGAAGGCCGAACTTAAGTCCACGAACAGGATCCTTGCATAAGTCCCTGATTTGTCCAGATGTTGCAGGATGTAGTGCAGTCCCATGTTGACTGCATCATCCACAGACCTGTTTGCTCGGTAAGCAAACTGCAGGGGGTCCAGCAAGGGTCCTGTGATGTCCTTCAGATAAGCCAACACCAGTCTTTCAAAAGACTTCATAACCACAGACGTTAAAGCAACAGGTCTGTAGTCATTAAGTCCTGTGATTTTGGGTTTCTTTGGGATGGGGATGATGGTGGAGTGTTCGAAGCAGGCAGGGACTTTGCACAGCTCCAGTGATCTGTTGAAGATCTGTGAAAAGATGTGGGCCAGCTGGTCAGCACAGGATTTCAGACAGGCTGATGAAACACCGCCTGGGCCTGGTGCTTTCTTTCTCTTCTGCTTCCTGAAGACCTGACGCACATCATCTTCACTGATCTGAAATGCAGAAGTGGGGGAGAGGGGGGTTGCTGGAGGTGTTGATGGCTGTGTAGAGTCAGGGCGGGTGTGGGGTGTGAGACCGGGAGTTTCAAATCTACAATAAAACTCATTCAGGTCTTCAACAAGTTGTTAATTCGCCTCAGTGCTGGGGGATGGTGTCTTGTAGTTTGTGATGTCTTTAAGACCTTTCCACACTGAAGCAGGGTCGTTGGCTGAAAACTGGTTTTCCAGCTTTTTAGCGTAGCTCCTCTTAGCCACTCTAATCTCCTTATTCAGTGTGTTTCTGGCCTGATTATACAAGACCCTGTCCCCACTCCTGAACGCATCCTCTTTGGCCTGACGAAGCTTCCTGAGTTTTGCTGTGAACCATGGTTTGTCGTTATTGTATGTTAAATGAGTCCTGGTAGGAATGCACATATTCTCACAGAAACTAATGTATGATGTTACAGAATCTGTGAGCTCATCCAGATCATTGGCAGCAGCTTCAAAAACTCTTCAATCAGTGCAGTTGAAACAGGCTTATAAAAATTGTGAGGAGAGCAATCACATTTATTTTCTAAAATAAAAAATTTAAACTTCAAAACTGCAATAAATTAAGGTTGACTCAATAGCCTCTTAAACGTCTACAAACAAACAACCTTCAAAAAGTCTCAGCCATGTCCGCCTCTCATATATGAAACACCTGCGATTCACAACTACCTGCCACTGCACTTGCATTTGTGTAAAAGTTGCCTTGTTGACAAGTTTGGGTGATTGAGACATAGTACCTTCAATGCCCTGTAGATGGCAATATCATTTCTTTTGTATCAGAAATAAACTGCTACAGAAACAGTAAGGTGTCATGCAAAATCTACTGGTGTACACAATACACATACTTATTCAAAAATGTCAAGTAGTGAGTAAAAGTTTCTTCAATTTTTGATACTCAGTAAAACTACAAAGCAGCCAAAAACATACTCATGTACAGTAACTAATTACATTTACTCAAATACTTTATACCTCTGATTTAACGGCCATAATGGATAATTTACCTCAGATTTTGGAAATAAATGAGTTTGCTTTGAATTGAAAGGATACAATAACTTGTGTGTTCCATGACAGACTGTATCAGTCACTTTTGATCATGTTAAAGTGGTGTCATTCATTAATCTGATGTGTATTCATCCATTTGCCGTGAGTGTGAGACAGCAGTGCTCTTGCAAAGAGAGTCTGCCTACACACTCGTCTGATTGGCTGTAATTTTGATTGATTTCATCGCATCTCATATCCAGACAAACTGCTTGTTGATTGAATCTTATCATATCAGTTAGAAGACAGTATAAAATTGCCACATACTGTCTGGAACACCCTTCGCGTTTGGGATACACCTACTGTAGGATTCCTAAAATGTTGCCAATGGGATGCTTGCTAGGTTTCAGAATAGACTGATACAAACAGTCTCACATTTATCAATACGACCACAACTTGACTTTTCAAGTTTTCCACATTGCAACTGACCGTGTTTAGAGAACATGATCAGTGCACGGTCACCTAAGAAAGTGTTTACTAATGAGTCCACTCAACTAATGAGCTAAATAGAGAGAGGTTTACAGACGACAGGAGGCAGATGTTTGGGCAATTTAGAAAGAGCCTAGGGCATGTCTACAGGCAGGACTACAGCATTAACAGCTGCTCTTTCATTCAGCTTCCAGGCTTTCTGAGGACGTGAGAATACACTTTAGCTAACGTCACAAACGGCAGGACTGATTTCTCCGTTCGGCAAATGCTCACCTCTATCTTTCATCTTTATATTTCTGTTTCAGCCGTGCGAGAATCAATTTACAATTCAAATGCGTTCAAGCGTTTCTGGAAAGGTTTGAAATTCAATTAAGATCCAGGGGTTGAATGGAAATGAAAGTGACGGTGTGGCAGTGGCTTGTTTATGCTCGTTTGATGGCGAACACTGGAACAGATTGCTTTGCATTTTAAAACACACAGTTCAATTTGGAAAACATGCATTTGCGTGAACATTAGTGGTGTATGATTTTATCTGGGTAAGCTGCTCACGCTGTGTGTTTGCGCGGGGCGGCAGAGCGCGTGAGCTGGTTATTGGTTCAGATAGCTGAGCTCTGCGCTTTGATCGCAGGGATAAGAGAACATGGAAGCACAAAGATCACTCAATGACTCAATGGAGGCATGTGAGATTGTTCTAGGTGTTCAAAGTGAGGCATGTGGAGATAGATCAGAAAACACTGCCCTGCTGAACCCAGCTGACTTCAATAGGAATAAATGTGAAAGTGTAAATTTCTGGTAAGAATATTACATAAGCATATAAGCCGAGTCACACTGAATCTGCACCTTCAAAATTCCTTGATTTACTGTCAAGTTCTACGTTTTCTGCATGTTTATTTCAGGGCTTTTAAATAATATAAAAATATAATAAAATTAATAAAAATATAAATAACAGGGTTTCTACAGACATGAACAAGTTAAATTTAAGATTTTTTAAGACCTTTTTAATACCACTTCTGACTTCTTTTCTCAGAATTGTGAGATATAAACTCACAACTGCGTGTTATAAAGTCCAATTCTGTGAAAAAAGACTATTTTCTTACAATTTCGAGTTTATAACATGCAATTGCGAGTTTGTCTCGCAATTATGAGAAAAAAGTCATAACTGTGACATAAAAAGTCACTTTTTTTCAATTAAATGGGCTTACATAACAGTTCGCTATGATTTATGATGATTAATCACAAAGGAAAGGGGAAAAACATTAACAAAGAAGTGAAAAAATGCTGAATTAACTGTACCTTAGTTCGCCTAAAATTGCACTTTTCTTCGTTAAATATTTAACCTAATTTGATAATGCTGTCAGACACCAAAAAGAGCACATTCTCCTCTGCATATCTTTGACTTCTTTTCTCAGAATTGTGAGATATAAACTCACAACTGCGTTATAAAGTCCAATTCTGTGAAAAAAGACTATTTTCTTACAATTTCGAGTTTATAACATGCAATTGCGAGTTTATGTCTCGCAATTATGAGAAAAAAGTCATAACTGTGACATAAAAAGTCACTTTTTTTCAATTAAATGGGCTTCCATAACAGTTCGCTATGATTTATGATGATTAATCACAAAGGAAATGGGAAAAACATTAACAAAGAAGTGAAAAAATGCTGAATTAACTGTATCTTAGTTCGCCTAAAATTGCACTTTTCTTCGTTAAATATTTAGCCTAATTTGATAAGCTGAAAAGTAAAAAAAAAAAAAAACTTAAGAGTTTAAGGTTTGTTTCAATCACTAAGCCTCAGTACAGGCACCAGTTATAGTTCTGCTTGCCTTAGTGAACACTTTCAGCTCTAGATGACTTTGGTGTTTTCTGAAAGACAGAAAACACTGAGCTTCAGAACTCTGAAAAGTGGAAATATCCAGCAGTCTCTGATCTGCCAATTAACCCGGTTTCACTGGGCATTCGCACACTCCTCCTAAACGCCTGCGCATGCCTACGCACATACACACACTTCACAAGCAGCTCTCTTTCTTTCTGATAAGTGATGTCTGACGTTCGTCCTAAATTAGCTTTTCAAGCGGGTCCCAGCGGAAGTGTCCAGAGAGCCGTGGAACTTTCCAGACATCAGATACTGCAGTTAAGAGTGTGTTGACAGGAGGTGTCCGACTTATCAGAGAGTCATCTCTCCCACCTTCAATACCACGACTGAGGTGCCCTTGAGCAAGGCACCAAACCCCCAACTGCTCCCCGAGTGCCGCAGCATAAATGGCTGCCCACTGCTCCGGGTGTGTGTTCACGGTGTGTGTGTGTTCACTTTGGATGGGTTAAATGCAGAGCACTAATTCCGAGTATGGGTCACTATACTTGGCCACATGTCACGTCACACATACTATATAATAATAATAATAATAATACTACAATTAAATAACAGATTATGGAAGCCCATTTCCACCACTTAATACAAAATAAAACAAGGTAATTGTCTCACATTTCTGACTTTTTTTCTCGCAATTGCGAATTTACATCTCGCTATTCTGACTTCTTTTCTCAGAATTGTGAGATATAAACTCACAACTGCGTGTTATAAAGTCCAATTCTGTGAAAAAAGACTATTTTCTTACAATTTCGAGTTTATAACATGCAATTGCGAGTTTATGTCTCGCAATTATGAGAAAAAAGTCATAACTGTGACATAAAAAGTCACTTTTTTTCAATTAAATGGGCTTACATAACAGTTCGCTATGATTTATGATGATTAATCACAAAGGAAAGGGGAAAAACATTAACAAAGAAGTGAAAAAATGCTGAATTAACTGTACCTTAGTTCGCCTAAAATTGCACTTTTCTTCGTTAAATATTTAACCTAATTTGATAATGCTGTCAGACACCAAAAAGAGCACATTCTCCTCTGCATATCTTGCCATTTTAAATGCATGATTTGAGATGTCCTTCATGTCTGTAGCTCAGGACGTAACAGTTCAGGACGAGTTACGCAGAAAAGTAAAAAAACAAAAAACTTAAGAGTTTAAGGTTTGTTTCAATCACTAAGCCTCAGTACAGGCACCAGTTATAGTTCTGCTTGCCTTAGTGAACACTTTCAGCTCTAGATGACTTTGGTGTTTTCTGAAAGACAGAAAACACTGAGCTTCAGAACTCTGAAAAGTGGAAATATCCAGCAGTCTCTGATCTGCCAATTAACCCGGTTTCACTGGGCATTCGCACACTCCTCCTAAACGCCTGCGCATGCCTACGCACATACACACACTTCACAAGCAGCTCTCTTTCTTTCTGATAAGTGATGTCTGACGTTCGTCCTAAATTAGCTTTTCAAGCAGGTCCCAGCGGAAGTGTCCAGAGAGCCGTGGAACTTTCCAGACATCAGATACTACAGTTAAGAGTGTGTTGACAGGAGGTGTCCGACTTATCAGAGAGTCACATACATCAAAGAGCATCCCTCAGAGAGTGTCAAAATAAACTCCGCTGGTCTGGATGATGTGTGTGTGTGTGTGTGTATAATGTTCTCATACTGGTCTTAAGTTTCTGCAGAGGAGTTTTTAAGTGCAGAATGTTTAATGTAAATGTTTCTCTCTCCTTGCTTCATAAAGCATGTGACTTGACAAGACTTATGCATTTCTTCCCTTTCCTCTCTACTCTTATTTTCATTAAACATATGGGAGGATGGCAGGATGAAGAAATAATAAGCTCTCACCGGTTTTGGGTTGCAGGTTCTTGCGTGGCTCTTCGGGTCCTTCGATCGGCTGGTCGGCCAGAAACATGCGTGCCTGATCCAATGTGCTGAGAACTAAATGCTCACGCTCCTTAAGCTCCGCCCTCAGAGCCTGAAAACACAATCAGTTAACATCACATCACATCACATCCTGTCAATCAGTCATTAACAGAGCTTAATTATAAAAATCAGCAGAAATAAGAAAAAAAAATGGGTGGGAAAAACAATTATCGTTAAGAAAACAGTCGACCAATTAACAAGAGAGAAATAAAAAGATAAATAGATGGATGGATGGATGGACTAGATAGAGAAACTGACAAATAAAAAAACTGAAATGTATGGATGGATGGATAGATAGACCGACAGACAGACAGAGAGAGATACAGATAGATGGACAGACGAACAGACAGACAGACAGACGGACAGACAGACAGACGAACAGACAGACAGACGGACAGACAGACAGACGAACAGAGAGACAGACAGACAGACAAACAGACGGACAGATAGACAGCCAGACAAACAGACAGACAGACATATGGACAGACAGGCAGACAGACAGCCAGACAGATGGACAGACAGACAGACAGACAGACAGACAGACAGACAGACAGACAGACAGACAGACAGACAGACAGACAGACAGACAGACAGACAGACAGACAGACAGACAGACAGACAGACAGACAGACAGACAGACAGACAGACAGACAGACAGACAGACAGACAGACAGACAGATAGACAAGACAGACAGACAGACAGATAGACAAGACAGACAGACAGACAGACAGACAGATAGACAAGACAGACAGACAGACAGACAGACAGATAGACAAGACAGACAGACAGAGAGAGATACAGATGGATGGACAGACGAACAGACAGACAGACAAACAGACAGACGAACAGACAGAATTAACAACAGTTTTGCCAGACTACTTTTGGCTTTCTTTTCATGAATTTCATTCTTTTAATCAGCCACAGTCCGTCATTTTCTGACAGTATGCGTTCATTGTTTATGTAAGTCAGCACTCCATCCAAGAGTGTGTGTTTGTGTGTGAGCAGGAGATCAGTGAGAGCAAAATGAAAAACAAAGAGATCAAGAAAATGTGAGAATGAGGGCAGTAAAGGACTGATAGGGTGCACATATAAAACGGACATTGAAGTGCAATTGCAAACACAATCTCCGTGGTCAAATGAGGCATTTCCGCAGGGTCTCACGCAAATTAGCCAAACTAATAGCCGATCTCTAACTCAGACAAAACTAATTCCTGCCTTCAGGCAGCACAGGACTTCTGCACAGTCAGACACACACACAATTAAATGAACAGCCAAATCTCAGCGGAGAGGAAAACTGGATTACCATTCCTCTGATAGCTGGGCCCCTCAGGCTCGACTGGAGAGCAGGGTCACGGCACCCTCCACACTTCTGAAACGGTCGTTAAACAGAACCGGAGGAAGTGATAAGCCTTTTAATTACATCCTGCTAAAGTAAACCTAGAGAGCACCAGCCGCACATTAGAGGCCCGTGATGAGGACAGAAAGGAAGAGGATGTGTGTGAGCAGGAGATCAGTGAGAGCAAAATGAAAAACAAAGAGATCAAGAAAATGTGAGAATGAGGGCAGTAAAGGACTGATAGGGTGCACATATAAAACGGACATTGAAGTGCAATTGCAAACACAATCTCCGTGGTCAAATGAGGCATTTCCGCAGGGTCTCACGCAAATTAGCCAAACTAATAGCCGATCTCTAACTCAGACAAAACTAATTCCTGCCTTCAGGCAGCACAGGACTTCTGCACAGTCAGACACACACACAATTAAATGAACAGCCAAATCTCAGCGGAGAGGAAAACTGGATTACCATTCCTCTGATAGCTGGGCCCCTCAGGCTCGACTGGAGAGCAGGGTCACGGCACCCTCCACACTTCTGAAACGGTCGTTAAACAGAACCGGAGGAAGTGATAAGCCTTTTAATTACATCCTGCTAAAGTAAACCTAGAGAGCACCAGCCGCACATTAGAGGCCCGTGATGAGGACAGAAAGGAAGAGGAGCGGTCCATTAAACAGCATTACGGAGACGTTAAGGACCAATATTTAAAAAATCATGAAGATTAGAGTAAGATGGAGAAAGAGACACATATGAGGTCAAAGAAGAACCTCATATACGAGCGTGTGTGTGCAGCTCGCTGGATGATACACGGCAATGGATAGACTGCACTGCTTTACTACTCTGAAGACTACTGGGATAAGGATGTAAACTAGTGAATATCACCTACATTTCTGTGTGTTTTAGCTATGGCAGTGGTCCTGACAGCATTAAATATCCAATATACACATAGCTGTGATTGCACAGCAATTTAATTCCTTATTAGGGTCTGTTTATACTACAACAACTGTTCTCAAATTAGAAAACACATTTCAAGGTGGGGTAAGCGATTTTTATAGAGATGGCGGATAAAAAAACTAAAGAGGAAAACGTCTGCGGATATATTGGATCAGCTTTCCAGCACGGATCGGATCAGCTTTCCAGCACTGGAGAGAACTCAAGGAGAAGTAGGCCTGCGATCGGACGCCGAGCCAATATTAGCAATTATCATGACGTTTTCTTTGACCTTTTCATTGTCATCATTAAAGGTGGGGTAAGCGATTTTTCACAGTGTCTGCGCCGCAACAGCTAAAGTCTGTCGACAAAGCGACCGTTGAAAATCATTTGAAATTTGTGTCAATACGTCATGAATAGAACGCAGCAGCAGTTTTCTGTTAGGGATTTGTCGTGTCGTGCCGCATCCAGTGTAGACCATAGATATGTACAGTATATACTGTATATATATGGTGTAGACAGCATCACTGATTATAATGAGTTCTATAGTATTTTGTCGCGCTGCGCCACTCGCGTCTGGTGTAGACACAGTGTAACATTGGTTTTGCTTTGTTTCACAGAACTAATCGTTGCCTGGGTTGCATGTGTGGGGTGGAGCTATCAAAATAGGGGCAAGACACTTTTGGGGTAGGGGCGTGTTTGTTTTGGTGATTTCAAATGTCAACATTGGCTACCAGAAATCACTTACCCCACCTTTAAAACAATTCCTATTCACACGGATCCACTGAAACTACTAAAAGCGCAGTATTATGCATGCCAGGCTAGGCGATGACTGAACACATAATACGCAAGTGCACAACGTCAATCATTTTCACAAATTCGCTTTTTTGTAGTGTACATAGAGACGATTATGGTATAGTTCTCAAAAACTTGCACTTTAAAACTCAATTTCAAAAACGCTGCTGTCATGTAAATTAATTGCCAAAATGCAAAAAGTTTTTCTGTTTTTAGCTGAAAACGGTGTTGTGTAAACACCCTTTTAATCTGACAAATTGTGACTCGCCTCAACAACTGTACACATCTCTGCTTTGCAACAGTCCTTAAGTTCTTCCTCATCCTGAGTAGTTTGGGATAAACCAAGCTTTGCTTTTTATTAATGTTTTTTTTTTTTTTCTTCTTTTGACTTGACCACTGATAGTAACAAAAATAAATACCATGGTTTAAACTGTATAACCTTAACCAGCCTAAATATACAGTTTCATTAAAGGCTTAGTTCACCCAAAAATGGAAATTCTGTCATTCTCACCTTCATGTCATTTCCATAAGACTTGGGTTCAGCTTCGAAGCACAAGTGAAGATTTTTTAATGAAACGTAATAAAAGAGATTTCTGTCCCTCCACTGAAAGTCCATTGACGCTTTAAAAAGTTCATAAAAACATTGTAAACGTAATCCATATGAATCCAGCAGATTCACATAAACACTGATGGCATATAAACAGTGATCAACATGCATATATTGACAGAAGGTCAACTGTACTTGCTTGACATTCAGGAGCCAATGAGGTCGGTTCTTGCACATTAAGGATGTTTGAGCTTCCATAAAGCATATTTGATGTGCTCTATGCATATACATTTTTATTACGTCTAAACTATTTCTGCTTATCATAAAGAGGGTGTAGTAATGTTTTGCCCATGTGCCACTGCATTTGGTTTAATCACTTTCAGCTCATTCAAAAATAAGAAAACGAGAACTTTTCCGATTAAGAAAAAGTTAACAAAACATTTTAAAAAGATAATCCGATGGATGTGGTTGATTTTCCAACCATCATATAATATGGTCTTGCCTCCATCTTGGCTCTATCAATCACAAAATAAAAGTCCTCTTCCAACTAAATAATCTTATTTATAATAAAATATGACATGAAATAAACCACAAAATTGATATATTCACAAATATATGCTAAATGGCTCCAACAAAGTGATAGTGTGTCTTCAGAAGACTAAACGGCTCGATTCATATGGATTACTTTTATGATGTCTTCATTAACTTTTTTTAAAGTTTGAAAGTTTTGGACTTTCATTAAAGGAACAGAACTATTTCAGGTTTCATGAAAAAAATGTCTCCGTTTGGGTTTTGAAGATGAATGGAATTCTTATGGGTTTGGAACGACATGAGGGTGAATAATCATGACCATTTTTATTTTGGGGTGAACTATCCCTTTAAGATGCCTCTTGTAGCTGAAACATGCTTTAGTAAACAACCTTCACCATCAGTGGCAAACATCAGATAGCTCTTCCATCTCTCTCTTTCACGAAGATGATTACTGTTTCCACTTTTAAAGCCAAAAAGCAGCAAACTATCATAAGTGCTCTCCCTGAGCTCTTAAAACACTTCTGACAGACACAAACAGCCAAACACAAAAGCACGCGCATTCACAGTCCTAAATGGCACATAATGAATAACCTCTGTGCCTGGAGTGAAAGACCATTGAAAACCATGAATTGGCAAACTGCTCCACACATCCGGAACACCTTTAAAAGACTCCCAAACAAGCACTCTAATGGCTCAGCTCCAGCCAAAACACCCTGGAGGCTAGTTTTTGGGGAGGATGGATGTGGAGAGACTGTACTGTCTGTCAGCTGTAGCAGCCTCTTGCCCTTGACAGCCTGAAGCTCAGGTCGAAGATGCTGGAGTGGTGCCAAAGTGCCACTTATCACTATAGCAACGCACAGCGTCACAGCAACAATAATTACCTCAGCGCTGCTTTCATCAGTTCAGAATGATGCC